TTTTTTTTTTTTTTTTTTTTTTTTTTTTTTTTTTTTTTTTTTTTTTTTTTTTTTGACCGTTTAGAAACGCTTTGATAGGCATGTCAAATGGTAATCACGAGTTTTTGCTCGATTAGCCGTGGAGTGAAACTATTTGGAAATTTAATTTGATCGACTGTCGCGAGTGGGTGTTAACTAATCTAGCGCATGATCTCTTCGCATAAAATTAACACAAAATATGGCACATCGAAAATCTTTTCGCGTTGATACCGTTTGACATTGTTATTTTCGTACGATACATGGCTTGGATTAAAGTATGAAAATAACTTTTGAAACTTTTGTAATAGTAGAAACTCAAAAGTCCGGTTTCCGCAATGTCCCAGTTGCGTGTACTACAATCAAAAAGACCAGTTGTAACGGTCGAATACGACCTCACAATGAAACTCTCTTCTTTTCGACTAAACGCAATTATTCCACAGTTCGTCATCCTGTCGACCCTCCTCCTCGTAGCAGTGGCTAACGCGGGCGTCCTGCCGTTCGCCTACCAAACCCATGCCCTGGTTGACCCCGAGCACAACCCACACCCGCAGTACAGCTACAGCTACGGTGTCCACGACTCCCTGACCGGGGACATCAAGAGCCAACACGAGACCCGCGACGGGGACGTTGTCCAGGGCAGCTACTCGCTCGTCGAAGCTGATGGCACTCGCCGAATCGTAGATTACACTGCCGACGACGTCAATGGGTTCAACGCCGTGGTGCACAAGGAGCCCGCCGTTCACCCTGCCCCCGTCGTTGCCTATCCGGCCCAACCTCTGGCCCATTACCAACAGTACCAGCCGGCAGCGTACTACACCCATCACGAGCCTCTGGCCGCATATGCTTATCACCACTAGTTGCTGAGCCATGGAGGGGGTGTGAAAAGGAGTGTGTGTGTGTGTGAGTGCTCGTGCATTGTTGTACATCACATAGCAGTGAGTTGGAACGACTAGCGCGAAGTTTGTGTTTTTGTTTTTTTTTCTGTGAACCACTCGTATGTACAGTATTTCATTGTATGTTGTATTTGTTTGAAAAATAAAAAGTGTTACTCTTCGAAACATAAATTCTCTTTATTTTATCAACTAATATTGCTTCAGGATGTAGCTCCGAGTTGTCTCACGTGGTTACATCGAAAGATTTTTTTTCAAGCGTATCAATTATACTGATGATTAAAAAATCTTTAGAAAACTTCAATTATTCAAGAGGATCCTAAGATTAATGAATTTTTCGATCGTGTCTTACTGCATACGGCTGT